GATCTACTTTAAAGAGTCAGAATCTCAGAGATCATACTCCTTGGGGCTGGGGGTCTGGGATCTCCATTTCAAAGTTGCCAGAGAGCAGAAGATGGAAACTAGGCTTAGCTGAAAATGTCTCTTGGAATCCGAGCACCCTCTTTCTTGAAGCAAGACGGCCCTCGTCGTCCCTTTAGAAGATGACTAATCAAAGTGGTTATTTGAAAAGCAGCACATCAAGGCCGACATGAAAGCATCCACAAATGAATTGATAAAAGTTCAGAAAAAACTTGGCTCTGTAATATGGGATAGAGAAAAATTATTTCTAAAACATAATATTGAAAATCGTCTAATAGAAAATCATCTCGCAATTTCATTAAATTGTCCTGATTAAACTGTAAAAAGTGGTTTCAAATGCTTATTTAGGTTATTTTTCTTTTAATAATATAATATACCATTTAGCAGACGCTTTTATCCAAAGCGACTTACAGTCATGCGTGCATACATTTTCGTGTATGCGTGGTCGCGGGGATCGAACCCACTACCCTGGCGTTACAAGCTCCGTGCTCTACCAGCTGAGCTACAGAGGACCACTTCTTATGCGAGTCCAGATTGGTAACATCAGATTCTAGGCATCCAACTGTTGATAGTCACCTCAATAAAACATTTCCAATTGACAATAAAAGTCTGTTCCAGACCATTCTGCTTCTCCGATAGCCAACAAGTCAATGACATAAGAGCTATAGCAGAATCAATCTGGTACTTAAAAAAAACAACAACTTTGCCTTCAATAAAACAAGGTCTAGAACTGTAGAAGGCCAATTTTGTGTACTTGCTTCAGTTTACCCTTCCTCCTAACCATTGTGAACACTCGCCCGGTAAGCAATTCAGCATTTTCCTGCAGCAGTTAGATCATAAACGCCCAATATGGGCCACACTTAGCGGGTAGCTATTTCCTTCGCATGCGGATTGACGTGGCACATCCACATTGCCTGGTGTTTACTTTTCGCCAGAGAGCGGTAACTAGGCAACGGGGCCCACTTTCACGATACACACATGGTTCACTTTCTGTGTGTCGATCGCTATATTTGGGCCGTCCATAAAACCTATTTTCCAGATAAAGGCTTTGGGAGAGTCAACAGAACACGCGTTCCTTTCTTGGTGTTGGCTGCTGGGTGATTAATGGTGGCAGAAGCTTGCCTGTTTTCTGTCTAATTATAGTGAGAGCAGCTGCTGGATTTGACCCTCCCCTCTTTCGCTGTTAACTACCCCACTCCCCAGCGTTCCCCCACACACCTTTCACATTCTCTTAAGTTTTTTATTTGTTTTACTGGGACAGCAAAGGACCCTGGAATGTGAGCACGGGTATTCCCCCCCCCCCCACCCCCCACCCCTCCCTTTACAACTCACCCGGCAAAGCACAGTGGCCCCCCTACAGGATTTCCAAAAGCCCCCAGGCGAGATCTTTCAAATCGCTGACGTGGCAGGCCGGGGCCCAGACCATTGTGCATGTGCAACATGCTCAGCCACGACCGGCGGCCATTTGTCATGTGGGGCTGTTGGGTGACCTTTTGAACAGATGAGACTATGCTATCCTAGTTAGCCTAGGCAGTCGTTTGGACACAGCTATCACTTCTAAAATGTGCATGGCAAACACAACCTTAAACAACCTCGGGGCCTTACAAACAAACATGGAAAAGTTAGTGGCACTTGTTGTTAGCGATTCGTTGCGTAGTCATGAGGAGATGGTAGAAGCAGCACAGTAAGGGCGCTAAGGTTGAACTGGAAGAATGTTGGCCATCCGACGCGCCCGTCCTTTCAGACAAGCCCTGACATTGCAGGTCTAAAAATACAGGGGTGAATGTTCTAGGGGAGTTTGTGGGAGAGTTATAAGCAGTAGAGGCTCATATAACCTCCAGAGACAAACATTGACATGGCAATGGTTAAAAATAAGTTACTATAAAGGTGTTAAAAGGGAGGATACAGTATGCTGCTCTGTTTGGAATTGCTCCAGATTAACTAGGCCTAATTTTGTATTTATTTAACCTTTATTTAACTAGGCAAGTCAGTTAAGAACAAATTCTTATTTACAATGATGGCCTATGTTGAAAGCTGTGTGGTACAAATGAAAGAAGTTTAGGCTTCTGAGGCTATTTTAATACAGAGGTAGGTAACATTCGTTCAACAAACCTGTATTGGAAAGTTCACTCGTTGCAAATTCCACATGGCCGACCTTGTGTGCATGCTCCTTGTGTGTTTATTATCGTACGGGGGTGGGACAGCTGAGCAAACAAAAAGAGAGAGACGGGAAAAAAGCCCTAAATTCTTTCTGAGTGTGCCCCGTAATTTGAGCAAACCTATTAATCTCGGACGACTGGCTGCTTTTTCGCCCTCTGGGGCGTTTCGGTGACAGATGAAAAAGAATGAGCTGGCTCGGCTGGAATTCGAAGCAGAGAGCTGAGCGCCAGCCAGCGTTGCAGATGAGCTGGCACCAATGTAACAGAAAGCCCGGGTCAGGTACGAACCGTCTGCTCCTCTCCCTCCCTAGACATCAAACGAATCAACATCGATCCGCACAAAATGGAACCTGACAAATCGGCCGTGGCCAAGTCTGTGTAGGTCTACTGTGAAATAGCTGCAGTGCACATTGGGTGAATCACTGCATCAGTCATTTTATTACATAAGCCTAAAGTGCTCGCCACAACATTGGGGGGAAAGAGAGAACATACAAAATAAGTGCAAATCATTTTTGGGAATGTAGGCCTAGCCTACTCTTTATCAGTGAATGAACGGTTTCCATTTACTGACTAATACAATGTAATTGTACAAAAACCAACAGTGGGCTAATGTTTGTTATAGGTGGAATTTGCAGTCTCTTAAAAATGACATGAATTTAAAGTACAGCTGCAATGTGTGGCCATGTAGGGCTATATCTAGGCCCTATTTCCTTCCAAATAGAGCTTGCTAGCTTGTGGTCCTAAAACCCAGAAATGAGTTTACCTGTGGTTCAGTCAGCCATGCCTATTGGGAAAATGAATGGGGAAAGAATATGGTTTTGGGATAAACGCAGAAAATAAAGGGCTGAGGTTAACACAGGCTTAAGAGATCTTATACATTTTGTTCTATAAGATAATATCAGTCATTTAACATGACCTTTATTAAAAAACAATTATTACATAAATGCTTCAAAATTCACAAAAAGTGACATTAGCTGATGAAGACTATCTCATAGAACAACATTTATAAGATCCCCAAAGCCTGTGTTTACCAGACCTTATTTTCGGCGATTATCCAAAAACCATACAAAAACTCCATTCATTTTCCTATTGGCTCTGTCCAACGAACCATGGCAGAGTTAGTGCCTATAAAAGGACGGCACTACTATTGCTCTCTATACCAACCTTGGACCATGTTGTCGTCAAACTGGGTCAGTAAAGGGTTAAGTCTGGATTTGGCCGCTCCCCTGAATGGTGGGTGAATGCAAGGCGAAGGCGCAGAAATACACAAGCCTCCCATTCATCTCGTCACCATGTGATCAACCTTGAACAGTGGAAGGCGTGTTATTGCACCGGAGGCCCCGAGCAGGCAGCAGAAGAGACGAGGGGGGGGACGGTGACGGTGACGGTGACTCAGGAATTCCACTGAGGCGTGCACATGACCAAGCACCTCTTTTATGGAGGATGATATTCTTGAGGACTACAATGCAGCAATTGACTCGATGATGTTCTGATGGCGAATCATGTCAAACGCCCATGTGTGTTTTGTTCATGTGTGCACTATAGCCTATAGAGGGGATGATTATATATTCCTTTTTCAGATAGTTGCCAATAAACAATTGATCCAGAGGAGAAAAGAACACAAATAGACATCTACAAATAATGCATTGTTTGTTGTTTATGCTGTTGGGTTACTAGGGAGATATCTAGGTTATCACCGAATTAAATATGTATCCAGTCAGCATTGGCTGTGGCTTACAGATGAATAAGAGATTATCTTATAAATGCACGACTCCAAAACTGGTTTACCCAGCTCGAATTGATGAATCACTCTCACACAGTGCACACTATGTTTGCTTTTACAGTAGCCACAATGAATGTATTCAAACTATTTATCTGAGGCAAAAATCTAGATCACATTCATGCTTCTTGACAAGCATGCAGCGTTGAGTTATGTGGAAAAAGCCAATTACAGCCAATCAAAGCTCACATGTACCTAGTTCACAAGTAGTCACACGATGTAATCATTCATGACTTCACATCTTTACTATGTTTTGTTTTGGTTTGTATTAGGGTGTGGATGCAATGTGTCAATGGCAATGCCCCTGGGGGCAAAAGTGACAAGAGAATAGATTTGAAAGAGATTTACCTGAATATTGTGTAGATCGTATTGATCTACATGACTTCAGTACATTTTAGCTCCATTGCTAGCCTAACTACCTTTGAACATGAAACGAAACAACTCCTCTCCCTCCATTTAGGCTGACGTACCAAGAGATAATTTACAGTAGAGGCTGTTTCAATTGTGCAGAATCACTTTAAAATCAACATCCCCAAATAAACAGTGATGTGGAATAACCTTAGTGAACTGATTAAATGAACATTTAAGTCATTTTGGGTTAACTGTACCTGAACTTCTAGCATGAGAAACTTAGAATACTTTTATCTTTACCAGCAATAGGAGACATGCAGTGGATTGTACAAACTTAGTGGTCATTAATGTACAATAGCCTCATAGTTACTGTAAGCAAAGTAAATCATGAGAATTAAAACCATCTTACTGAGGAATTTTTGTTTGCTGGCATATTCAACTGTATGTTGTTTACCGCTGTATAGAAAATCTCCCCTCACTTCTTTTCCTCCCTCGCTTTGCTTCCCCCCTCCACTCCTCCCTGGGTCCCATTTTGTTATTTTCAAAAGGTATTGCATCACTGCCCATGAGTGATTCATAGTCAGGACATGACTCTCTCTCCCTATGGCTTCACTCATTACTGATTGCAGGGAAATAAGCAAACCAGACACTAGTTATTATTACAAGGTCAGAAATTGTATTTGGCAAGTTTTTTTAAACAAGTGCATACAAGTACAGCTAGAAGCATTTCAGTTTGCCAAGTGCTCGTAGAGTCATATTAGTTAGTCACATTCTATGTTTAACAGGGACTGCCACCAGAACTAAAAGTACATCGATAGGACATCGAAAAAAGGGGGAGGAGGAAAGTAGTCTATTATGATGAGTACATACCTTTATCTTCAAAAAAATATAGAAACACAATGTATTGAAAAACAAAAAAAAAAAAAAAAATTATACAGCCATGTTTACGAAGTATACAACTTCCCTTGTGTCCAATATGTACATGTCCATCAGTTTCTTTTGGATGGTATGCATGGTACGAGGATTTATATTCATTTGTAATGGTGTACATGTTGGTTTTTGTTTGTTTGTTGTTGTTGTTGTGGTGGGTTAAAAAAAAAACGCAAGGTAAAATCAAGGGTCTCTCTCCTTTTTTACTTTCACGTCCCCTGCCAAGATGGTGGCTATTTCGCCCTGCATGAAGGCCCATGGTACGTTGGAGCCCACCAGTGGGCATTTCTCCCCGCTGGGGCAGTACACCTCTCCCGTGGCCCCCTGCTGTTTGATACTCTCCCGGGAGCAGGGGAAGCAGAACTTGTGCGAGGGAACCGACGGGCACTGGACAAAGTGCGTGTCCTCCAGCCTCTCGTGGCACAGGGTGCAGCACAGTGGCACGCTGCCCGGCACCGACGAGTCTGGAATGCTCTGCGGCGGCGCCCCGTGAGGGTCCATGCCCTGCGAGTGGGCCGTGGCCACCACCTCCCTCTGGGTCAGCCGCCGCTGGCCTGCAGAGGACGGGGACAGCGGGCTCCCGCTGTTGCGCCGGCCCGCTGCCGTGGTGGAATGCACCTGGTTGGCGTCCTTTGGCGAATTAGTGTTGCCGGCATTGTCAGCGGCGAGGATGAGTGCTGCCATGGGCGACTGGCCGTTCTGTGCCGTGGCCGCCTCCGGTGGGGTGGTGCGACTGTGAGGGGAGATGGTGGAGGGTGGAGCGGCAGAGAAGCCTGGCAGGGAGGCCGGGGGCATCTTGAGGACCTCGGAGGGCGACGGCAGCCATGGCTGGCCCTCGCCGCCGTTCATCTTGGGGGCGGAGCCCTCGCCGTCTGGCTCAGGGGAGGCTTTCCTCTTCATGCTCCGCGGGTGCTTCCCTCGGTCTGTTGGAGAAGAAGGAAGAGGAGGAGGGGAGGGGGGTTAGAGAGAGGAGTTCAGGGTTAACAAACACTCCAACCACCACAGCACCAAATGTTCATGCACCGTAAATAATGAAAAATTCCTCTCAAAGTTGTATTCTTTCATATGTAAAACAAATTTGCAGAGGAAAAATAAGTAAGATGGTCAGTAGCCTGCTGGGGATCAGACTAGAGGAAATGTAAACATGCATAAACAACCATTCAGCTGAAAACCCACGTCAACACAGTGGCAAAGTAGCTGACTAAGAATTTCAACACTCCCAGTTCCTGTTTTAGTCTTCTAAATGAATGCATTCCTGTGTGAAAAAAATCCACAATCCTACCTGGTTTTGAAGAAGTTGCACTTGTCTCATATCCCATAACGCGCTGCATCGCCGCATGGTCTTTCTTGAACCTGCTGTCGAATGTGTGGAGAGCCATCAAATCCCTCACTGTTTTACCCTTACCCATCCACTCCTCCGCCCGCTTGTGGCTCTCCGACATGTCCGACATGCTATCCGGTCTATGCTTGTCTTTCATATCCTCCCCGCGCTTGCCGTGGTCGCCTTGACCAGGAGCATTCAACGCGCCCGGCATACCCATTTGGGCGGGCCGACCATTGAGTGCGTGTACTGGGCCCATGTTTCCGTTTACTAAAGGCACCAAATTGGGAGGAACCGTGCTAGTCCTGCGAGGGTTAGGGCTCTGGCGGTTCAGCTCCGGTGGGTCGTCAGGTTTTGGAAATCCATTTGGCACAGGGATGCCGTTAACTTGCCTCCCCGGTTGGTACTCCGGTCCCAACCTTGGCGGCCGGTCAGAGAGGGGATAGCGATCCAGAGGCTGAGGCGGACGCGAGCCGGGGTCTCCAGCCGAATGGTTGTGGGACTGAATTTCCTTCCCCGAGTGTTGAGGTTTGCCTGGCCCCGGAGATCTCCCGTCCTGGAAGCCATGAGCCCTCTTCAGCTGTCGGGCAGTCTCAATTACAAACTCAATCCGGTCGGCTCCCTCGTAGTTGACACATCCCCTGCAAACTGGTTCGGTAAAATCCCAGATCATCGCCCATGGCATGCGGGGCAAGTCACACAAATAACATGACTGCCTCCTCGAAGCAGCTACAGCCGCGGAAGACATGGTTTTCGAAAAAGTGGATACCAAATTATCCAAATCTCCCTGGGATTCGTTTTATTCTGTAGAAAAAAGGAATCGCGAATTATTTTGTATTTTCCCTCTAGCCAAGCAGCCTTAAAACAGCCAAGTTACACTGAGAAGTTCATTGCAGTTGTGTACTTTACTACGGCGCGCCTCTATCTATCTCGCACTACAACTCACAGCCCGAGCTCAATGTAGGGCGGTGACGTCACCGACGACACACCACTAGTGCTTCTAGCAGCTCCAATTCTATTTACTTGATTCTTCGACAGCCCCTCCAGCGCATGCTCACCTTTTCCTCTCTTTATCTGTAGGCCCTACCACTTGTGCAAGGAGTTAAACTGCCAGCAAGCCCTAAAGAGAAACTGGTTTGAGGCAGTTGAGCCCTGCTACTTAAATTATTTATTTCAAGTCAAGGTTACTTGTTTAAATAATGTTGATGATAGGCTTCTGATTACTGAGAATCGACATCCAAAGAATTCAAAGCAACAGCTAAAATTATTGCGGCTCCTAAATTATCTCACGAATATTTAATGCCTTTGCATGCAACTCAAGAAGTGGCGTCACCTATCTTGCTCTTTTAGGTAGCATATGCATGCTCTCCCGGACTGGCACTAGAGCCCTATTTAGAAAATCGTCATTCCAGTCACGCTGCCAGCACAACGTCACGAGGCGGATAGCTTTCACCCAACCATACAATTCGACTCTGTTACTATGGCAGATTTTACCTTCCTTCCTTCGTCCATTTAAAAATCGGATAGCCTCTTTCCAATTCATAGTTTACGCATTGAGCTTTGCACAATCGGCTTGTTTGGACATAAAAATAGTTTTCATAATGCAACTACTCTAATCTAACGTCGAAATGTTTCTCATTTTACAAATATGCGTCATTAACTATATTTAGGCTACTTTGTCAATCGCTTGCTACATGCGCCCCTTATTCTATGCAACAATGTATCACATAACGAGGTAGTTGATACGTTGTTGCAGTCACATTATGCTGTGGCATGTGCCTGTAACATTGTTGCAATTCGACATTTGAGATTATAGCCCCTAACCACCGTTTGAGCGATGTTTTTACAAAGAGCGACTGTGAATTTCCTCATCGTCTAAATATTGGACAAAGTTCAATCAGCATGACTAACTCACACCAATCAACGCCTCGTGATTCAGTAAACTCGACAACTCACAGCCTGTCTGACTGGCAAACACGGAAACCCCCAGATCAAAGTCACAAACCGAGACATCGTTTGCACTTTTTTTCAATTACTGCTCCATCAATTCTTTAAGTCTGGGGGCTATTCGTGTGGATAGTTCATTTACTTTGATTGATAATTTCACATAGCCTAAATGTCACTCCGGTCTGGTCTTGTTAAACTGTGAGGAAGGTCTACAAAATAGCCTTAGGCCTACTAAATGTGTTTATTGCATGAACTGTGTTTGTAGCCTATATAGCTCACTGTAGGGTTTGACAAAAAATGATGCCCTCATTGCCAACCGACCGAGGAGTTTTCCATCATTTACTTTCTCTCTTTGTTACGGTTAGCCACAAAATTGTAGAGTAGGTGGCTGTTGTGTGTGAGGCAATACCGCCGAGGAGACCTGCGGATACAAAGCAGGGTTTGTTTTTGCAAGCATGTAGCCTACTATATGATGACGTTCCAAACAGGAAGTGGATTTTAGTCACGTACCCGCTTCTTACCTCGCCCATCCGTGGAAAAACAAACTACCCATCCTGGCTCGCTGCCAAAGATCACAGACATGCGGGGTAGGACGAACGAGTCACAGCAAGTTAAAGCAAAATACCAAAGGAAATGGTTTCTGATAAAAAGCATGCTCTTTGTTAAAGAGACAGTCGACTAAATGTGATGAATCGTTTCATTTTTTGGCTACATCTATTTGTTTCTAATAGGCTAAACATGGAAAATGGCAACTATATCATTGTATAGCAACAAGCTACAAAATGTATGGTAGCAGCCTCAAATTTGTCCTGTAACAGGGCCGCCGAATTTAATCAATTTAATAAAATATATTGACGAAAAGCGTTAAAAAGAGGGGCAAAGTTGTATGTTTTTTAGACCGATTTGCGCAAAATTTCTCTGTCCTTCACATCAGAGTGCTGCTGCAGACTGTGTGTCTTGACAAATCAGATTCATGGAAATCGCAGGTTGCGGTGCCGGGCACAACGCTCAAGGCATGCTCTCCACTTTCCTCCAGTATTTATATAGCAAGCGTGATAACACGTCACTCCCTACAGACACAACCAAAAACTCTTACATAAATGTAGCAGACTATACACCTAAAATGTAGCGATCTTACAGGCTGTATTGCATGGAAATCAGACTATTTTTCACTCTGATCAACTGTAGGCTACTAACAACAGCAGCTGCATATTCTAGGCTACTATGCGCCCTGTCACTCTGGTCAGTGTAACCGGGTAATGTTGTGTATTTATAGCCCATTTGTTTGTGCGAAAATGTGAATAGGATCAAAATTTGGTTTATATTCACACATGGGCTGACTAGGCTACCTAGACTTTTTCAATCCAAAATTATTAACTGTAATTAATCAATAACAGACAGAGACCATGAGTACATTTTTAATTAGGCCTACAGTTGCATATGACAAGACTACATGATGCAGACCTGCATAAAGCAAGCTCAGCCCTGTGAGTTTTATTGTCCAATTATGTTGCTTTCTCTGTGTATAGGAAACCCCACTAGTTCTAATACACATTTCAGTTGAATGCATTCAGTTGTGCAACTGACTAGATATACCCCTTTTCCTTCCCTTTAAAATATAATTAATATGAACAAGTACAAGGTTGCTGCAGTTTGACAGGGTCTTCATCATCCTCAAGGTCAGGATTTTTTCCCAGGATTTAAAAAAACAACATGTGACCTGATTAGAAAAACTCTGGTCCATCATAGCCCATATTAAACCTTTTTACAACAGATTAATCACATCATACCATATAAGGTCCAGAATTTTACCTGGTTAGGTTGGTTACCAGATTAGGAAAAACTACAGACCCCAGAATTTTGGGGACTCCGGGACCTGTGGTGCCACCTCTGCTCTGTAATATGACTAGCCACTTAGCAATTTTATGAAGTTGGCTTTAGCTATCCCAACTAGGTTCCCAATCTCCAGGCTATCAATCAATTTAAGAGTAGCTAGCTTGTCTAACTATCTTAGCTGGCATGACTGCTCGCATGTTTGGATAGACTTTAGAAAAGCAAGCAATAACTAAATGTTGAATAAGACTCACATTCCTTAAAATGTTTTACCCAGATTTTAGCAGAGATGCAGAGAAGCAGGATACAGACAGCTCAAGAGGTATGCTTCGATATGCAGAAAAATTGACATATTTGGACATAAAATTAAGCATAATGATTATGGCTATAGATTGCCGGAAAAAGCAGTTTCAAGTGTTAGAAATATGCAAAATTATCAAATTTACAGATGGGGGGCATAGCCCCTCTCCGGACCACACCCCAGCCATCCTCATGTACTTTATGCCCCCTCAAACGCCCCTGAATGTAAATAAACTAGTTGTGGAATGATGGCTGGCCAACAGGAGAGCCATTCTAACAGTGAACCACTGACAATGACTCAGCATTAACAGTAGCAACCCAGACATCTCTTACTCAATGGTCCGTATGACTGTATCACGTCGGTGTGGATCTGCATCGCCCAGACAGCTGACTTGACGTGGCCTTGGCCCATTTTGTCTCGTCCTTCTCTCTCGGTTGCAACACTGTGACATGCTCTGTCTCGCTCGCCCAGTCGGCTGTGTGGAGAGAGAAAGAGAGAGAGAGACACGAGGGGGGGACACGTATGCTACTGTAGGTGCACCAGTGAACAATGTGTCCTATTTCTCTGCAGCCTGAGGCAGAACAGGCAAATGAGCACTGAGCAGCAATAGCAGTATGGGCTATTTGCATCCAGGACAATGTGCCCCTGTGAACGGTGTATAAGCAAATCCCAAGCGATGGCTGGGAGAGATACTGTAGGTATTAAAATAGAAAGGACAAGTTTTGACCCAAAATAAGAATGTACCTGGAGATCAGATAGGTTGGATGTGGTGTAGTTTGCATTGTGGTATGTACGTTTGAGTATGTATTTATACGTGCACACACCTGCACACATACACACAATGCTTGTGTGCACATGCACACGTGTGTGTGTGTGTATCTAGACTCTAATGAAATACATACTCAAGCTAACACCATATTGGGTTTCATCATCGTGGCTGCCAATCAGCTTAGACATTTCCCCACTACCATGCCAAGACGTCTGCAGAGCAGCAAGGTAACTGTCTTGGTTCACTTAAGACTCTTTAGTAAGCTGGTTAATTAGAGTGGGAACATCCCTTACGCTGGTGGCCTTGTCTTGAGCTGGGCCAGTGTGAAGAAAAACAATCCTCCTTATGCGGTGTGATTACAGTTTACACACACATACACAAAGTCAGTCACAGACACACACACAAAGTCACAGACACATGCACACACACACACACACATTCACACAAAGAATACACACACACACATACCCTCCACTCCCTCCCTCCCTCCCTTGCACTCTCTCACCTACAGGCATCAAAAACCCACCTGAGCATCTATTGTGGCTTGTCACGAAGGTTGGAAGACCCTAAGACCTGCTGTTCTGCTGATGGAATGAGGGATGAAGGAGGGGGGGGGCACTCTGGTGGCTTATGTGGCACGCTGATATCGCTCAGCATCCCCAGGTGCTCCAACTTGGTGGCAGCTTGAACAGCAGCTCGCACACAAACACAGAGGACTACATGTCAGGCAATCACAGGTTGCCACAATGTCTTGACATGAGCCTGCTATTGTTACTTTTAATCGTTGTTCTTAATGGTCTGAGGAAGAGAGTGGCAAGAGTGGTTAAAGAGAAATTAGGGTAACATTTCGCTTAAAGCCAACAGGTACTGGTGCATTGCTACCCTTATAATACTTTATTATTAACTCATATCTTACTGTATGTCTTTTTTATGTGTTGTTTTTGGCAACATCTGAGGATCATTATGACATATGATACTAAGACATTATTTCTGGGTTGCACATCCGTCATGCGGTCACATCGTTGCCATTGTTATCAACGTTTTACAGATGCCGCAGGATATTAATGTCTGACTGATGGTTAATGATGTCTTTCTGAACGGGGGCTAATGACTGTTTCGTCAAATTTACACTATAGTGGCCTGGAAATACGATGACATTGCGAAAGTAGACAAACAATTAGTAGAAAACAACTTTGCCATCATTATGATGTCGTAAAGTAGTCGGAAATAGCTAGCAATGCTAACATTAGCTAGAGTTATACTGTATCTAAAGTAAATCGGCCAACATCACAATGATGACAAAAGCTTGTCCTACTAATTATTTGCCTCCTTTTGAAATGTCATATGGTTTCCAAGCCACAGTAATACACTTTAGACTAAATCTTCATCAGCATTCATTGAGACTGCATTGAGTAGAATCCTCAGCTGGGCATCAAGTCCTAAAACGAACGTTCAAATCAATATTGTGATTAAATGTGCAAGCCATGAATAAGAGTGTCATATGACAAGTCCTACCGTGCATTATGACCACG